CTTTAAAATTTACACCTAATTTATTAATAAAAGTTTATTGGAGCAAGACTCCATTGGATTTTTTTTTTTAAAAAAAAGATATATTTGCCCATATCGAGTTTTGTATTTTTTTTTGTTTGCATATATTATGAATCACGATTGTGGTTAATTTTTCAATAAGTAAAATTAATGATAGAATTACACATTTAATCGTGGGAGATAAGAACCTTCCGAAACATTTAAAGTTATAATTTATTAAATAAGATCTAATTCTCGAAGATGCTCTAGAATAATTACATATGGGTCTTCGCAATACCAAACATACCTTAGAACAATCCAGTTTTCTTCGCAAATCTTTCTTGAGTTGATCCCATTCTTGCTGCTTGATAAAATTATTGAGATCTCCTCTATGAAAGAATTTGATATATTTTTCATGCTGCACCCCTTGGATTTTTAATCCCATTGGGTGTTCTGATGTTTTGAGAAAATTAGGTTGTCATATCTTAGATGGCGGTCCAAGATATTTTGATATAATTTCACGACAAAGATTTCATGTTTAAATTTACAACAAAATGAACACCACGTGCCTCTTAAAATATAATTACATATTGTGATTTTTAATGACTATTTATTATTATAAATTATTATTATTATTTATTACTATTATTATTACAAATTTATTTATCTAAATTAGTTAATAATAATAATAATAAACATGTGCATATTGTATATACCTATAAAATATTTAATCCATATTAAGTCAGTGATGCCAAATGACCAAATGGTCACTTAAAATTATGACAAAAGTCAATTATTTTGTATTTATTTTTATTTAACAGCCAAACTTAAATTAAACAAAGCAAAAGAAGTTCTGACAAAAAGATTAATATCATCAAGAGTTAATAATAAATAAATAATTATCACGTTATTTGGAATTTACTATATAAGGTGAAATATTTTGTAAATGATCAGTTATTGATACCTACCTGTTTAACTTGAAATTTCTAAAGTTGCTAAATTTCAGTCACATAATATAAAACTCTGAGTTGATAAATATCTTACATAAGTACTGTACTGATACTCAACAGGTTTAATAGAATTTTACTAAGCAATTTATTTAGATAAAAATTTAATTGTTTTTTTTTTAAAGAAAAAAAAATATTTATAAACTTATACTTACATACTATAAACAAACAGAAAATGCTTGAAGCATGTTCAGAATGCAATCAAGAATATAATAGTTGTTGGTGCAAACCGTGCTACTCAACACATTTTAAAAATGATTTTGATAAATGGACAAGCGGAAATTCCACAATAGATAAATTTATTCAAGATGCTCAATTGAATGCTGATAGTGTTTATAAAGTAATAGAATGGATACCTTATGATAGATTTCAAGATATTAAACAAATAGCAAAAGGTGGTTATGGTACTATTTATTATGCTAAATGGGTTGATGGATTTATTGATTATTGGGATATTAAAAATCAACAATGGGAAAGATTTAAACAATTATATAAACATATAGATGGATATGAAGTGGTATTAAAAAAGTTTGATGATATTGTAGATATAAATGAAGATTTTTTAAATGAGGTAACGTAATATTTTAAATTAATAATTATTTTTGAAAATTTTATCTGAAATATACTATAATTTAAAAACCATGTTATTTTAGATGGCAATTCACTTGAAAATACATAACTATGGTATTGGAATCTCATCAGTCTCTTTATGTGGAATTACAAAAGACCCGGAAACTCACAAGTATATTATGGTTTTACGATATTTTGAAGGTGGAAGTCTTAGAAATTATTTAAATAATAATTTTAATAATATCAATTGGTATTATAAATTATACTATTTAAAAGATTTGGCTCTTCAATTTTCAAAGATTCATAAATCCGATATAGTTCATCGTGATTTTCATCCCGGAAATATTTTAAAATATAGTTTGGAATCTAATTCTATATTTATATCAGATTTTGGATTGAGTAAATTAATTACAGAAAACATAAAAAAAACCCAAAAGAATACCATTTCTGGAGTATTACCTTATATATCTCCTGAAGTATTAAGCGGTGGGGGAGAATATACAAAGGCTGCCGATGTTTATTCATTTGCATTTGTTGCTTATGAAATCATCACTGGACTTCCCCCGTATCACGATGTGTCGCATGATAAAGATTTGGCTTTTAAAATATGTAATGGATTTCGACCAAAAATTCCATTTCACACACCTAAATTAATTGCACAAATAATTATGCGGTGTTGGGATGCTCGAATTACACATCGACCCACTTTTGAAGAATTAAATGAAGAGTTGCATAAATATTATCTGGATTATTATGAAAATGATTATAAAAATAGTAATGAAATTACAATTCAAATTAAAGAAGATGAAGAATTTTCCAAAAATCAAACAACAACTGAAACGACAACTACAACTCCAACAAATTATAAAACACATCCACAAGCAATTTATACCAGTAGACTTCTTAATTTTTCAAATCTTCCAAAACCTAAAAATGATGAAAATTTTGAAAAAAAACTTGAAGAACTAACAGCATCTTTTTATCAAATAAATGCTAGTAAGTATCAATACATATATTTATTATTTTCATTTTTAAATTCATAATTATTTAATTTAATTTATTATTATTTTTTTTAATTAGGTGATGATGATGATGATTTTTTATAAATTTAATGTTATATACTATATTTTTTATTTGTATTTTACTTATTAAATTATAAAGCACTATTATATTAATTTTTTTTTTTAATATTATAAAATCTTGACATTATGAAATTATTATATGAATCCAAATAAAGATTTTTTTATTAAATATATTACATTTAATAAATTTTATAGAAAATTTTAGCTTTAGTCGACTAAGCCAATTAAACTTATTTGATTTATTTGTTAATTTTTTAATAGTCGAACCAAATATATTTCGAACACAAGCGACGTTCTCCCGGATAGGAAAACTTTTTCTGAAAAAGGAAATTACTTATAATAATCGTAGTAAAGTATGCAACATACTCATAATATACTTTTATTTATATTTTTTAATTATTCTTCTAAATTTTTTCAAGAACTTTTTAAACCATTTGGTTTGGAAATCTTCATTTAACTGAAAAATTATTATTCTAATTTCATTTTAATGATAGAAATGATAGAGAAGTTCTTTAATAATTTTAATCGAAATTTAATATAATTTATAAAAGAAGGGGACGTGATCAAATATAAAAATCTGTTTAGATGAAAGCTTCGTGATATAATCTGCGCTATAAGACTTCCTTATTTTTGCAGTGCTTATTCCATTAACCTCTTCACCTGTTGATAAATAGTGAGTTCTCCCAAATAATTTATTGATATTCCTGGCCTTCACTGTTCTTTTTCGTAAATTATCTTTTGTAAATCCCAGAAGATGTTCTGTAACCTTTTTATAAACTCGTGTCCTAGCTTGTTGACCGTTTAATCTTATATCGCCATTCATAATTTCTTTTACACTTTTTTCGAAACTTTCGGCAAATGATACCAGCTTATAATTTCATCTTGGTTGACTTTATCAACTCATTTCTCAGCAAGAGATGCTTTACGGTATAGTCGCGTTAGAATTTGTGCCATAGTACCCCAGTCTCTTCGATGTCATTTTCCTTTTAATCTTTACCTTTAGTTGGTATTAATAGTTCCTTCATCAGCCCTTGCAATTTTATCTTGTTCACGCTCAATTTGCGGGGATGAATACCGAGATGAAGAAAAAGAATTAACATGAACCAAATTAGTCGCACCTTTTTTATTTTTGTTATCGCTAATAATTTTGACTGCAATCGAACTTGTTCCGCGATCCTCCATAATAATTTGCCTCGTTTTTTCAGCTGAAATGGAAGTGGCATCGTTTTCCACTAATCCTAGTTCTTGCAATAATTCCAATCCGTCTTCACCACCATCTATGGTATCCGTACTGAATTGGGATGCTTTTTTCCCTTCATCTTTGAAAGCACTTGCCTTGGGTACAAAATGCTCACCTGAAGCAAGTGCAATTCTTTGAAAATTTCTATATCTATATGGAAAAGCGGGCATGTGGTTTTCTTTTTTCTCCTCTTAATATGTGTTTTCATGTTAATATGGTGAATGCTTGAGGTAGTTAAGTTAAAATTTCTCTTTCACAAAACTACATGGTTTTAATCTGAGTATACTCTTTGCATCGGGAACTTCAGTTACATTTCCATTCCTTAGGTTAGAGCTATCGGTATTTTCCTCTGTCAAACTTTCTAAGATTCGCTTGACATCATACGATATTTTTCCCCTCCACTGATAATAACCGACGAAAAGCCATATCTCATCCATCCCATCGTTTATATATCCACTCCGAAACTATTTAATCCGGAAGAGATAAGGTAAGTTTATTATAGCGGAATAGAAATAGAAAGGTAGAGTTGTTGGATCGGTGAAAAAAATTAATTTATTAAAAAAATACATAAATTACCTCAAAATACGTGATCAGTAAAAAATCTGATAATCTTGACGTGATCATAATCTAAATAAGCTCAGATGATATAATTATATAATTTCAGGAAGTTGTAGCGACACAATCACTCATCATAAAAATTCTCATTTTTTTTCACTTTACGCGCCCTTCCTAATTATGAGCAAATGTGGATGCGTTCCTGTGTTGTCGAAAAGAACATTTTGACTTTACTTTAAACTCGTTATGTGATATCTGTCCGCCCACGAATCTATACGTGATTCACTTCACAGTAGTTTATATAGTGATCAGGTCTTCCGTCAAAGTTCCCCAGTACATATCACAATATTCGACTGGATTGACGATAAAAAATTATCATCTTACTCATCTCAATAATCAAAACAGCAAAACAGTCAAAGCCTTTTGCAGTTTTTAAAAAAACGCGGCTTTACTCATCGGCTGTTGGTCGACGTGCAACCATTACCCATAATTAAAAAGATACTAGAACCACTCGTGATTCTTCTCCATCGGTATACAATAATTTTCTTCCACAAAAAGCGAACAAGGAGCAGTTATAGAGCCTTTTTTTGATCTTGCCGAAAAAGAAATTTATAAAGTTTCATGTCATTCCTCAAGAAATATAATGCGAGTAACTAATAATCGAACAATTAGGTGGTTCGGATGGAATATGATTTCAAGCATGAAATTCGAGTATTTTTCGAAGATTCAAAAATAGATATTGTTGAAGTTTCATATTTTGTTTTCTTTCACATAATTCTTTTATGGATGAAGAATTGCTTGCTGTCTAAATATTAAAAATAATTCTTATTTTTAGTTCTATTATTACCAATTCTCATCAATTAACTATATATACTTACGGGGATTGTTTTACATGCTTCATCAACCATGTCTATTTTTAATGCATTACTGAAAATCATTGAAAGAGGGTTGATACCAGATCACAACTTTCCGGACTTTGATAGTATAAAGTTTTTTAGTATAAAGATTAGAATGCACAGTATAAATGTTAATAACAATATTATATGATATATTAAAATGAAAATATTAAAAGTGAAAATTACATGTTCGTCCTTAAATGATTCCAAAATCAAGTGTGCAAAATTTAATTACATGTTGATAATTCAAATGTCTATAGTAATTAGTTAAATTTCCTGGTAAATAATCTTGCGATGAAATTATTGCGTCATCGGTGTAAGGTGGAAGTGTCATTTAATTTGCTATATTTAATTAGAAATTAAAATATAATAAAATTAATAAATAAAATAAATAATGATAACAAATGAAATAATAAATAAATTTAAAAATAAAAAATAAAATAAATTTAAAAAATAAAAATAAATAAATAAATATTAAATAAAAATAAATTAAAATAAATTAAAAAAAATAAATAAAAATAATAAAAACACTCACTAAAAGCTGTTACAACTCGAATAAATCTTTCAGCTGCTCTATCATATTTACGTTTTCAATAAGGTGTTCAATAAATCTCGAAACAAATAATAATCTACCGAATTTTGAATTGAGATTAGTTGATATGATTATTAAATGTGGATTGATATTAGGTAATATTCAAAATTTAATGATAAAGGAAATTGTTTATGAATAAGTAAACTATATCTTAAATCTGGTATTTCAGGAATATATTTAGAATAGTAATTTCTCCTCTCCCCGCCGTTATTGATATATCCTGTTGTTGTTGTCGTCGATTCGATTGTTTTTGTTTAAGATTAATCATTGATTCGGGATATACAGATCGTTCAGATACTCATTTAAGAATTATATGTATGCAAAGAGTTGACATACTCATTGATACTCTTTGATCTCCTCCGTAATCTCCATAATTTGGTTTCGTACAAACCACAAAAATAAGTAAAAGATATAAATTTTGGGCTATTGTATAATTGATTAAATAACATCAGCAGTTGATCAGAAATCAAAGCATCCATAAATACGAAGGTTTTAATTCTTTCTCTGGTAGCTGTAATATTTTCAATATTCTCTATGTTCCCAATGTTTCCTATATTCACAATATTTTCTATTACCAATATTTCCAATAATATTACTACTACCAATATTTCCTATATTTCCTATATTATTATTACTATTACTATTACTAATATCATTGCTGTTATTGTCGTTGCTGTTTCCATCCCTTTCAAATAAAACGTTATTCAATGTGGATAATACTATAATTATAATCTATCACATGAATCAAGTAATTTCCATATTCTCGCTTTTAGATTTGAACGTAACTTGGATTTAAATATGATTCATGAAAATCATAGCACATTGTCTGATTGAATAAGAATAAGGTCTACAAAGTGATTTACAAATATCAGATAATAAATCAACATCCAAAAATTGGGAAACTATTAAATTCATTGATTTAAAGAATTTGAATAAATAATTCATCATTTGATCGAATCAATAAATTTAAAAATTTAAATTCATCACTTGTGTAATAATAAAAAAATTTCTAATATGTCAAAAATTCTAATTGTTGATATACCTTGTTGAGTTATTGCCAAAACATGTCCGGATCGAATAATTTTAATGCTAAGCGAAATCTTGTAGATTCTCGAACTTTAAAAACGAATCCATTCACTTATCACAAATTGTTTATAATAAAGATCATCACCACTATCACCTTGAACTATATAAAAAAATAAAATAATTGAATTACAAAAATAAATTATTTTTTTAAGAGCAAAATTAGTAATTGAATTTTTAGATTTAACAAGAGATTTAGAGATAGATAGATATAGATATATATATTTTCTAACCTGACCAGCAAATTTCGGCATGTGATACCGTAATTCTTGAAGTTGCTCCAAGATATAATACTTTAAATATTGATATCAGACCATCCAGAATACCAGCAGCAAATTGGAACGGAATGATTCCAAACTCGATATTCTATTTATCTCATTTTTATCTTCCACCGAAATTTTTTCACCATAAACCGATTCTCCAACTTCGAAATTTTTGATAACAAGATCCTTCTAAATAAATATTTAATTTATATATAATTTATAAATAATTATTTATAAAACTGTATACATTTACTATGTAATTTTTTATGGTGAATAAAGAAGAGACTTCGTTAAGAAAAAAAATCATATATTACCTTCATGTCTATGTGGCCAATTAAATGATTACTTTAGATCTTCCTCTAGCTCCAAATTTACCTCCACCGCGTCCTCCGCCAAAAACACCACGTCACACGATTTCAATCCGAATTACCGTTTGTCCAAGTCCACGTACTGGATCACCTAAAAAATTTTATATCTAATATGTTTAATTCTCACGAATAAAATTTAACCGATTATCGGTAAGAATAAGATGAAGACGTTTTCAAGAGTGAATTCATATATAATATTTTACCTTTAGGCATAATAGAGCAATAAAAAATTTTTAGCAAAGTAATTTTCTAAGCAAATAATAATTTATTTGAAGCATTAATAAACATAAACATTAATAATAAGATAATATTTAATCATGATAAAAAATTCATAGATTTTGAATCCCAATCAAATTCTGTGTCACACACATATTCAGGCATTTAATCGAATATGCTCATATATATGATAAAACCACAGAATTCAGGAATCTAACAGGTAGAAAGTAAAAACAAATCTACTGAAATGTCGTATTTCCTTGCCTTCGCATTTTATATAATAGGACGGGAACGGCTGACCTAACCATCGAAATAAATATAAAATTTTACGAAGATAATTATAATTTCCATAAATGTAATAATGTTATAATTATTAAATCCACGATAAAGGAGGAGGCAATTGCCACGAAAAACATTTGTCAAATGGTCCTGACTGGACGTATGTAAGATTATTATTATTCTAATTCACTCATGAATTCTATTAATATTACCTATGATTTTTTAATTATGTTATATTTTTAAATGAATGAAAAGGTTTTGATTCACCCAAAGTTAGATTTGGATTCCAATTTAATGGTCTAAATCTTAATATAATGCCCATTCATCGTAAATTAAAGGAAAATTTAATTCCTCGGATTTGAAGCGAGAGAAAGTTAAACGAATGAAGCATGAATAAATGATATTCATGTTGAATGAGGTATTTTTATATTTTTTAATTTTTATAAATATTTCAATTATTTAAAAATTTATTATTTTATTATTTAGTTAATTTATTAATTTAGGAGAATCAAACCAGAGTTTCGTCGGCTAAAATATTTTCGTCATCAAAATTCTGCAAATCGTAGACCATCTCTTCAGCCAGTTATTGATAAAGGAAGGAGGATTGATGTCAATGAAATCTAATAAGTTCAAATAAAATATTCCATAAATTATCGTAATAATATATTATTAATTTAAAAAAGGACGCTTGGAACCAGATTCGAGTATGATTATTAATCTGATAAGAGAGAAAGTAAGTTATTAATTAAATTATTTATTTAGATTTGGTTTAATTTAAAAATTATTAATAATTAATTTTTCTATTTATTTAAAGTTATTATTTTTTATTTTTCTAGGATCCATTGATAAATACTAAAATATTTATATTAGTTAATATATATCGTAATATAAATGATAAAACGCGAGGTTATAAGTTCATACTTTTAATGAACAACTTCAAGAGAAGATCTAAATTTTTTGTTCTAATGATTGATAGAAAAGGATGATTCAAAAGCATTGTGCAAGATATTAATATATTTATTCTTAATACAATTATATTCATTCATAATACAAATATTTAATATATTTATTTCTTACATATTTTTTTTAATTATCTTAAATTTCTATATGGATGATAGTATGAAAAAAACGAATTGAAATGGAGAAAGCAATCATTACAAATAGTTGAATTTTTAACACAAAATCCGACCTCCAAAATTATTCAATTAATAAAATTGATTCTCATTTTCGGACTTTATTGCAGCAGCTACAATTCCGGAATTCGAAATCCCAATTATTACTCAATATGAAATCACTACCATCTCCCCCCTCCACGCAGAAGAATTCACGAATATCATCACGAGTCTCTTCATCTCCTACATTGATGCAAACTTCAATACAAATAACCAAAGAATTCAAAATGATTGTGTAAATAGTAAATATTTCACGGCAAATGATTAATCCAGGTCCAATCCAATTCAATGCAAAGATTGAGCTTGATGACCAGCTCAAATTCTGGTGTAATGGTTAATCAATTTCAGAGAATATTCTGAGGAAAATTACTTAAAACTCCCCCCGTAATGTCTTACTCTCACGCGATTAACTAATCAGGTTAAATGACTCAATAGTAAATCAAATCCAACAGTGGTTGCCAGTTCAAATGACAACATCAAATAATATCAATAATGTGAGCAATGATGTAAATATGCAAATGCAAATGGCCAATCAAGTATCTATGAATTCTGTAGAATTCCTACAATGGGTAAATTATATAAATTATAGAGAAGCAGCATTTCGAAATTATTTGATGAAATCACAAATTACGTAATCCGCAATATTAAAAACAACATCATGAAGTTCCAGCAACCATAATCCAATAATACAAAACATTATTTATAATTTATTGATTAGAATTAATTGTTCTTTTATGCGGTTTTTTTTTTTTAGTTTTTATAATTTTGGTAGATCCTAATATTTTAAAATAAATATGAAAATGATAGTAATTTTGTGAAAAAAATTTGATTATAAATTAGATTTTTAACCTTTAATATATATTCACCATTTGTACATACTATAAAAATATAAATCAATATATTTATGACAATTACAACTATTATAAATTATTATAAATTGTTATTTTATAATATTTCAAAAATAATATGTATCAAAAATATTATAAATTTGATATTTTCTCATTTATTTTGACTTTTAGTTTAGTATTGATTTTTCTGATTTTTTAATTTTTAACTTTATTGTATGTATTGAATTTTGTGGTTGATTCATAAGATGTTATTATTAACATCAGAAGTAGTTGGTTCATTGGACTTTAATAATAAATTAGGATCTATAAATTTAAAAATTCAAAAAAAAAATAAATAATTTGTAATTGATCATTTGTTAAAATTTAAATTGCTCTAATACCTGAAGATTTTCCAGATTTTATTTCTTCCAATAAATCATTCAATCCATAAAGAGTATGAATATATCGGCTAGTATAATGTGATTGTGGATGTAACTTACTTGAATATGAAAACAATTCAATTGATTCTAGCTTTTGAGATTTTGATGTATTTTTTTGATTTTCATCAGCAATTTCAAGTTGACGCATAACATCATTCACCAAATTAACATTAAGTTTATATAATATATCGTAACATGGATCTTTTAATTCAGTAGAAGTTGGACGTTCGGAAGGATCATCACTCCAGCATCGATACATTAAGTCTAAATACCATTCTGGGATTTAACTTAATATAAAATCAGGAACCTTTGGTTTTAAACCATTAATCAAATAAGCATCATGTGCTCGGTCAGCAAATGGTCGTTGTACAATAACTATTTCATACATAATTCCACCAAAACTATAAATATCACCCTTCCTTGTAAATTTATTTCCTCTTAATACCTCAGGTGGAATATATTGTAAATTTTGCTATTTTTGTTATTAGAATTTAAAATTAAATCATTTTCTAATTTACACAAACCTAAATATATTTCAAAGTCACAATTGCCAAAATCGAAATTATCGTTTACCAAAATATTTCCGCTATGATGGTCACAATAAACTAAACTTTTTTCATGTAATACGTCAAGAATCTCTACATTGATAATAATATGTATATTTTTGATTTCCGCCAACCTAAATCCCAAAATTCTTTGAGTAAAATTTTATGTAAGTCATTTAACAGGCAATATATTTATAATCGTTAAGCTTAATACTAAATATAATAAAATACAAAATTAATAAATTATAAAACATTAATAACTTATGTTCTAAAAATAAATAAACATACCTTTTTAACAAATTCAGATGCATCATATATAGAAATTTTCATTTCTTTCAAAGCAACTTTGTCGCCTATAAAATTATAATCCTAATCTTGTTTGATAAAATTCCATTTCCATTTTATTTCGATTTTCTAATTTGGCAGAATATACAGATCCATGGCCACCATCAGCTATGTGTTCAAAATTATCATAAGATATCCAATGAAACTTTTCATTGTAATCATCATTTATTTGAGATCCTTGTATAATCTTATCAATGTTAGTATTCCCACCAGAACAAGTTTTAAATTCGTGGATAAAACGTTCTTTAGTACACAAAGAACAATTTCCACCTGAACAAATGAAATTTTTATAACAAGAATAAGCGAAATCCTCAGAAGAAGGACCTGCTGGACAATACTTTATTTTTTCTATTTTTTTTGAGACATGGCAATAAAAGGAATACTCGCCTCGTTATTGTTTTTTTTATCTCGAATTTATGATTGATTATATTTATTTGTGCTACAAAAAGAAACCTAAAACTTTAAGCAAATAACTGGCGAAAATAGCAATACAATGCTAAGATAGTTGTTATAGGTTTTTCTTTTTCGTAGTTACAGTCAATAGTAACGTTTCAATCGAATTCTGTGTTTACGCATTAAAGAACATTTTATTCATTATTAGAACTTTGTCAAGCGGAAATGCTGACAAACATTGATAAGATTATTCAAGAATCTCAATTAATGTTCTGCAATGGATGCCTTATAAGAAATCAGACATATAGCTTATGGTGGACATAGAAGGGATTCAAATTCTATCAAATGTCATTGAAAGAAATAAAAGATTCTAGATGATATGTTTTCTTTATATTTAGAATATAAGTTATAATTTTTTTTGATGTTTTCATATTTAAGTTAGGTAAGATTGACTGTAAATCATTTTGATTCCAAATATTATGGAAATGTTCAACAAAAACGAACCGCATTATTGTTATGGATTTATTTAATGATACATAATTTTTTAATCAAAAAATTATGGGATTAAGTATTAATAGCATGGTCTTGAAAGTATAAACTTGGTTCATTACTAATTACACAATTATTTGTAATTCTATTGGTTATTTGTATTGGAATATTCTTTTTTTATTTTATTCAAATTTCTATTAGTACTTATGAATAACATATTTAGGACTAGTAATTTTTATTATCTAGAGGTTTTTTTTATATAAATTTACTATATATTGGTTCTTACAAAAAGTGCAATTATATAAAGATGTGATATATAATATTTAACACCTGATAAGCTACAAATGACTTGCATATAATATTTAATACACAAGCGAACTTTATAAATTTAAGCTTTACATAAATAAATCATAATGATCTTTGTTAATTTCCTTACACACTTGAAACATGAATAAAGAAGGTAATATAACTTACATTTCCCATTTTGTTATATTATTTTCAAAACTAAACTTATTTTTTAGATTTCTGCTGTGCTTTGATTTTAAGTTTGGAAGGCATTTTTTCTATTTCCATCCTTTTCCATGTTTTTGGTTTTGGGTCATTAACTACATCTATACTACTGCCAGACGAAGTGGATGGAGCCGAACTATTCCTATCTGGTAAAGAACTTTGAACTTTTTTCACTCCTCTCGGCGGTTGAGTTCTCTTTGGTTGTGATGATAACGGCGTTGATTATTGTTTTCTTTTTCGCGTCATATTATTATTCATATTTGCAATTTTTTATTTGTATACTTTTTTAAAGAATATTATAGAGGAGTTAATTTTGCTGAGAAATTTTGCCTTTTAATAAAAAGCTTATTAAATAAATTTTAGAGGCGTTGTTCTTTTGTAGCTACCTTTGCTCGATCGCAATTTGTTTTATTTATTGAAGTTAAAGAATTGTCACACAAATTGATCAAATGATGTCCCAAATGAAAAATCTGGATAGATTATAACACCTGGAAAAATGAGTGGACAGCATTTTTACGATGCATGTTACACGCCCACCTTGAATGCAATCAGCATAAGCGACATCAAAAAACCATCAATCTAGCGAATGATGATTTTCTGTGATTCACAAAAATATCACAGAATCATATGATTGATATAAAAGATAAATTTTATCTCTCGAATCACAAAGCCAGGTTCGTTCACGTGAATTAAAGCAATTAAAAAAAAATGGAACAATCAAACCTTAAAAATGTCATGTGAGCAACCTTGGTTTTAATAATTCGGCACAGAATAGGCAAAAAGATATCACATTAAGGCGCGTAATTTATGTTAACCACATACATAATTAGTCTTAATCACCGCAGAAATTATCGCCCTTGTATCCATCCCTCTACACATGAAACATGATCGTACTTGTATAAAACAACTACCAGTATCATCACCTCTTATGAATTTTAGAATTATATCGATTCAGGTGATCAGCAATGCATCACATGTTTGATAGAAACCAGGTGACAAATATAGGAAGTTCCTAGAATATTTAATAAAAATCACTATTTGAAAGGTGTAATACACTGTGATAAATATACTACCCTGATAAATAACTCATACCCATACATTTAACACATGGGATGAAAATCTATTGGTAATACTGGGGTAGACAGTATAAAACAAGGTATGTGACAAATGTTGGATAACAAATATGGTTTAAACCATATTTATATTCAAAAGGTGTAATACTTAGTGATAAATACACAGCTCCTGACAAACCCCCTAATTCCTGCGGGTCAGGATAAGAATCTATACCCTTACACACAAGTTTAGATTTTCCATAAAACAATTAATTTCACAAAAAAGCTATAGTGGGGAACCTCTAAGATAGGAACTTGGTTATAGTAAAAATTGTTCAACTTTTTTACATTAAAACTTTATTTTCTAGAAATAAAATTCTAACTGTAGAAAATAGTAATCCAGAATGGGTGGTAAGTAAAGGTGTGGAGTCCAGTCAGACAGATAAGTTATGTACAGTCAAATAAATAATAGTACAAATACATACAAGTGCTCTAACACATGATTAATCCTAACTCTTATTTTAAGGCTCTTACACCACTCATCTAGTTGACCTTACCCCACACATTTTCATCTTACCTACCTAGAACCTAAGCTTTTAAAATTATCAGTTCTAATTTAAATTGATCAACTTTTATTGGGATTAAAGTTCTATATATTTAATTATACTTATCAAATTTAAGAATACACAAAAATAATAAACTATTATAATTTCACATAGAAAATATAATACTGAAAAAATGGCAAAATATACAGTTAAAAATATAAATCTTTTAATGTAATTTATAATAAATTAAATAATTAAAATAAAAATTTTTAATCCTTAATTTTTATAATGATCTTTATTATTATATACAGTCACATGTTTCCGTATTCCTAAATTCTAATTGGCTAAAATTGCATCAAATAATACTTATAAACCATGAAAATTGAGAAAATATTTTTTTCAAGATTTTTCAAGTTCTTATCTTATACAGGTCAAATACGAAAGAATTGCCATACTAAAAAGGAATTCTAATCAAACAATGAACAATGGAATGGTCAATTTTTAGCAATTTTTTCTGATCTATGATATAAAAAATCACCATTCTGTACAGTGATTCTTTTGTATTTGACCTGTGTTAGAAATTCTGTGCTGTAGCTAAAACTAAAAATAATTTATTTTATAAATCAAATACATGTGATAGAATAATTATTTTTTGATAAATTTCAAGTGACATTTATCCTTTAATTAAATCCTTATGTATTTTTTCAGTTTGTTAAAATATTTAACTTTATATTATATCCTATATCTTATTTCAAAATTTAACATTTTCCAATAATCAAAACTCATTAGAAAAAAGATTTACTTTCTTGTAAAGATAGATAGCAAAATTAGCATGATGAGAGTTTAGATGAATTGAGTTTATTTTTTACTTCAATAAAATAACTTTTATAAAACTTATGTAATTATTACTTTTTTATTATATTAAACTTTTAAAAATTACATTTAATGTTTTTTTATAATAAAAACAAGTAGTAAAGAAACCATGGTAAAAGAATATTAAATAGTATTGTTTATGTTGACATTTTAACAATGTTGTTTTATTATTATTCATATCCAAGAATATTTCATCATTCTACAAATGCATTAATTAAAGTAGAAAAGTAATAATTACAACCCATTTATTAGAATATATGCAAAAAAAAAAACTAATATATATTTTCTAAACAGGATTTTATAAATATTTCTTTGCTTTCTTCTTGTTTATCTTCTCCTTGCTTCCTGTTTTTTCTTTTTAGCATGATAATTTTGGTAATTTCAGCATTGGTGATAGATTATTTTGGCAATTTCCTTCTTCTCTTTTTCCAACTTTTTTCTTTTACTCTTTTCTCATTTATTCTTTTTCAATTCACACTTTTCTACTTTAAAGATAATGATTTCTGTAATTTTGGCATCAGCAATAAACAAAATAAACAATTTTGACAATTTCCTTCTTTCCTTTTTCTAATCTTTATTACTTACTTTTCTGTTCTCTTTTCTTCTTTCTCGTTCTCACATTTCTTCTATTATTTGTTATTAAATCTTTTACTCCTTGCTTTCAATTTTCATTCTATTTGTTGATTCTATATGTACAGTTGTTTTTTATCAAATTTATTTATAAATTTTAAGTGCAAATTATAACACAATAAACTTTTTTTTAAAAGAATCCCCAGATAAAAGGCTATCATATGATATTTATTTATTAAAGTGAATGTTTGTTTTATTTAAGACAAAATTTCTGCACGAATTAATCAAAAATATTAGATCGAATTGTTAATCGTAATGTCCTTCGATTTCAATAAATATTCATAATAAATACCAACTATTATATATAAACTTGTAGCTTAAAACAAGAGCTACAACTTTTATTAATACTATATTTAAGTGTTCCTAATTTAAATTAGAACTTTACTTAGACACAGCTAAAATCGATTGAAATTTTTTAAAATATGATTAGAAATTAAAAATTATTTACTAATCGTTGTCATATATAAAACTTTATTTTATACTAATGAAATATTAATAACCATACTAAGTAATCTTAAAGTAGATAATTTTGTGCATCTACTGTAAACTTTATAGACCTATATCATAAGAATTAAAGAAATAATTGATATCTAAACTTTAAAAATAACTGATAATTATTCCGCCATTTTTAAAGATATAGGTTTGAAATTTTTACAGCAGGCGTACATGCAATATTATTTTATTTAAGTTTACTTAGAATTATTTTGTAATGTCATTTTATTTTGATGAATATTCATAATAGATACAAACTATCTAATACAAATTTGTAGCTTAGGATAAGGACTACAACTTTTATATAACGAATATTGATATTCTAGCAAATGTAAAAACTTTACTTAGACACAAATAAATATTTATTAATTTTAACAAATCTAATAAATTTGATTAAATAATTTAATAATTTATTGTATACTAATGTGCAGTGTGCAATCAGAAGTTATAAAAAAATCATTAATTATAGAATATCTTTAGACAAATATATATATATAAATATTCAATGTGTGCCTAAGTAAAGTTTTTACGTTTACTAGAAAATATCAAAACTCATTATAATAAAAGTTGTAGTCCTTATTCTAAGCTATAAATTTGTATTAAATAGTTTGTATCTACGATGAATATTTATCAAAATAAAATGGCATAACAATTAATAATCTGATTTGCCATTTTTGAATAATTTTAATTGAATACAAAATTTCTGTACAATCAGGTATCCAAATTTTAACAAACTCACATTATAGCCCTTGATCAGGGAATTATTTTAAAAAAATTTATGTAATTTAGATTCTTCATTGTGATACAATTCGTCTTTGAAATTTATTGATACCAAATTGTAAAACAGAATTTTTTTACATTATAAAAAACAATGAGTACAGATGTGAATTGGATTGAACAATTTTTTTTAAAAAAAAACTATAAATTCATTACATTTTCTTAAAAAAAACACATTTGTGAGTCCATATAATGATAAAAGGCATGTGTAAAAGTTACAAAATGTACCTTTGCCATGATTCTTGGATGGTCACATTACTTTATTACAAATTCAAAAATTCAGAATCAAAATTAAATCAAATTAAAAAATCAAAAAAGGTTACAAGATGCATAAATTTGTAACGCTGATTAAAGTTTTACGTTGCGCGATATTTTTTATCATTTATTTTTTTTACAAAATATAGGAAAGTCATGATTGTTACCATATATTAAGCTTTTTTATTTTGATAAGTAAATACAAATACAGTACTAAGTAACCTTAAAAACAAGAAGGAATTGCATATTTTATCAAAAGAACAGCATATATTACCAAAATTGAGAAAATTACCAGTGGTTAAATTTTAAGTGTAAAAACATTTAAAATGATAACCATTCTTTCAATCTTAATCCAAAATCAGCTTGCAATTTGTACAGGAGATGCAATTAATTTTTGTCTTTGAGATCACTTAGTATCGTTTTCATATTTATTCATTAAAATGAAAAGTTTAATATGTGGTAACGATCGATGATTATTTTAATTACAAATATTGTACACAATGAATAGAGATATCAAAGTGCATCTAAGCTATAACCGTGGACCCTTATTACATATAAGAAAATTAAATTATGTATTATTTATTATAAATGGTTTTATTTCTTTTTTTTCGTTTTTGCATATTTATTCAAAGTACCAGATTGAAAGCACAATGTGATTACTTATATAAAATTTGTGATGAGATTACTAATTCTTGATTACTGTATATAAGAAACCAGCCAATATGGAGTTTTTTATATTAGATAAGAAATGATAAGTTATAATAAAGCATTGCATTGCTTTTAGTAAAATAAGAAAGAATGAATATTGGGCAGGTGACAAATCAATTTTTTTATATAATCTTTGGTAAAAAAAATCTATTCTATCATTTTCGTGATTCTGTCCATCAATTCCAAGAAATCAAGTAAGTAACACATATTATAATAAAGTTATACTCTGTACTGTATATCTAGGCGTAAAAAAGAATCTAATTCAAGGATTCTTTCTTTTTTTTTGCACATATGATTTAAAGTTATAATAATTTACTAAATTTTAATCTTAATCTGAATAGATTGCAGTAATATTATTTCTACCAATTTATCAATATTGTTTTATATTCACTTCCTCCCCGACAATTCATTATTATTACTATAAACTCCTTGTAACTCTAGTAATTGTTTCGCTATTTCTAATGTCATTAAATTAAGATCACGTCTTTATATGTTTGATATCCTTCTTGTGGTTTAAGGAATGTTGCCTAACCTTCCAGGGCTCACTAAAATTAATAAATAAATAGAGATCATATATCAACGCAAATGATAGATTTAAATTTCCTTCTTTAAACCTAGACCAAAACCCAATTGTAAATCCACCCGCCTCAACAGAATCAATCTTTTAGCATAATGGTAGGATTCATTGGTATAAAGGTCTCTTTCCCCTTTTGATTGAGTAATATCTCCATTTAATACTTGAGCAGCTTGTTTTGACACAAATTAAAGTCATTACAATTACTTTCTAGAAGATGACAAATACTGAATTTTTTTTCTGTCCAGTCTAAAGAAAAAATTATAAACATATGAATATATTTATATTAACTTATGTGATGAAAGGATTAGATATTTTTTAAACTGAATCGAAATAAATATGTGAGAGATTTTTTTAAAGCAAAAGTGAAAGCTTGATGCTTTAATGGTTATTGCGAATAATGTTGGTCGAGTAAGTTTAAGAATTTCTGGTCATCAAACATCGGTATTTATATCATTTCTTTCATAATATTGGTATCCACCACAAGGAATTTTTAAATTTTTTTTTTGTTTAACTTTATAATAATTGAAATTATGCTCTTTCTCTCACTTTATTACCACCTTTCTTGGAAATAGTCTTTTCAACAACAACTTTATCTTAAATTTACATTTACAACCCGAATTTAGAATCGAATATTGGAAAAATTTTTTAAATTCATCGCACAAAAAAAAAGGTTTAAAACTATTTTTACTTTTTTTTATTTTAGTGTATCTTTTTGTATTTTTTTTTTTTTTTTTTTTTTTTTTTTTTTTTTTTTTTTTTTTTTTTTTTTTTTTTTTTTTTTTTTTTTTTTTTTTATTTTTTAGACATTTTTTATTTATTTTTTTTTTTTATATTATAATCACTATATATTATTATTAGAAATGTATTGTTAATTAATTGATATTTAAAAAATGTAATGTATAAGACGAAATATGAAATTCTGCGCTATTTTAAACTCAAGATCTTTGTGAGATTTTTAAGAATTTTATCTTTTCAAGTTATTATAAGCAAATTGCTTAAGTAATAGGTATGCTAAAAATAAAAATCCCCTTCTTAAAGAGAAGCATGAATTTTTGTGTTAATCCAATAAAAAATTATAATATACCTTATTTCATCCATTTTCTATTTTTTCTTAATGTACTAATTAAAAACAAAGCAGAACATTTTACCTATCTTATTTTTTTCTCTTTTTTGTCTCCATGTGGTATCAAAAAACATAAGAATTTACCTTGAATGGCATCGTTTATTTTTTAAAAAAAATTTTATTAAAATAAATAATGTAAAAAATAATACATTCAAGGTGTTAAAAATATGTTTTCAGCCTATTAAATAACATAATAAACTTTGTTTGAATATTTAAAAAATTTTAAGATTATTGGATAGTGAAGATTATTCAAATAAAGATATAGGCTGCATATTTAATTATACCTTATTGATTCTATTTCCTCCTTAAGATGATTTCAAGTACCAACGTAATGCTTTTTTTTTATCTTTGATAGTACCGATTCCAAGGAAATAACAATTCGCAAGACTATATTGTCCACTTCTATTTCCCCCTTCAGCTGACTTTATATAACATTGAAATGCTTTTTGATCATCTTTTGTAGTTCCAATACCAAAGAGATAACACAAACCAAGTTTATTCTGCCCATCAGTGTTTCCGTCATTAGCTGATTTCAAGTGCCGCTGAAATGTTTTCACATCTTTTTTTTTTTTAATTTCTGATTCATAATGACCACTATTTCTCTCTTCATCTTTTGTTGTTTTAAGCCCAAGATAGTAATTTCCAAGTAAAGTCTGTGCTTTTCTATTTCCTCCTTCAGCTGATATTGTGTACCAATGTATTGCTTTCTTTTCATCTTTTGTAGTTCCAATTCCGTCGAGATAGCAATGACCAAGATTATACTGTCCATTAATATTTCCCCCTTCAGCTAATTTCATGAACCACTGAAATGCTTTCTCTTCATCTTTTGTAGTTCCAATTCCATTACAATAACAAACAGCAAGAATATACTGTCCCAAATGATTTCCTCTTTCAGCTGATTTCATGTACCACTGAAATGCTTTCTCTTCATCTTTTGTAGTTCCAGTTCCATCACTATAACAACAACCAAGATTATACTGTCCCACATGATCTCCACCTTCAGCTGATTTCATATACCACTGAAATGCTTTTTCTTCATCTTTTATGGTTCCGATACCATTACAATAACAATCTCCAAGACTATTCTGTCCATTACTATTTCCCCCTTCAGCTGATTTCATATACCACTGGAATGCTTTCTCTTCATCTTTTGTAGTTCCAATTCCATTATGATAGCAACAACCAAGACTATATATACCACTGGAATGCTTTCTCTTCATCTTTTGTAGTTCCAATTCCATTATGATGGCAACAACCAAGACTATACTGTCCTGTAGAATCACCACCTTCAGCTGATCTCATGTACCACTGAAATGCTTTCTTTTCATTAGCTCCAATTTCATTTTCCATTTATGTAGATATTTTTTGTTTGGATAAGAGTTTTGTTAAAATAGTTAATAAATATTAATAGATAAATATAAATGTACATATAGATAAAAATTTTTTTTTGTAATAATGATATATTGCATACAAAAATGAGATTATAACTAATACAATTTTAGAAGAATTAATTTTATACGGTAGCCTTTATTGTTCTGTTCACAGAAAACTATTTTTGTTATATAATTGGTTCATTGTAAACTTCATTGATGATATTTATTTCGCACCGTTATGGGAATAGATGGCTGTATTAGGGACTGTTCTAGTAATCCCTGTCTCTGATTGGATTGCTGATTTATTTTTTTGTATGAAAGCGGAACGATTTCTGCCAGGACCCCGAGCAATCATAGTGACACTAAGGTTTGCGCAGCCATCATAATGTAGTAATTTAGTTCCATATGATATAACCCCGACGGCACGGATTTTTTACTATTATATTCCCATTAATCCTGTAGATTCATGCAATGCTAAATTATAGAGAAATAGTCATTATCTTTACAATTGACATGTTGAATAATAAATCACTAGAAAATATATTCCCCATTTGGTACATAACATAATAACGGAATTTATGAAAATATAAATTAATATTACATGGAAAATAATATTTGACAATTATGACAATTATAACTATAAATATGTGAAATATTATAATTTTAATACTTTTATAATAATTTCAAAATTTTTTTTTGGAAGTTTTCTACATTTTTCAGAATTTTTTAATTTTTTAAACATTAAAAAAGTATTTTCCTCATCAATGTATTTTAATCATTCTTTAGAATCAATATTATCAACGTTTTAAACGTTTTAAAGTAATTGATTCATTTTTGAATTTCCTTTTCCTCTTCCTCATCAATATTCATTAATATGTATGTTTAATGATTCATAAACATCAAAAGTAGTTGCGGTTTTATCACATTACTTCTAAGTCCATTAATTTAGATAATTTAGATCAAGTTTTTAAAAATTTTGATCTACAAGTTTTTTTTTTAGAAATCAACTCAATTCAATTTCTAAGAGTTGTTTTGTTCTTACCTAGTAATCGCCTGATCCCAAAGCATGATGATCTATTTAACAGAGAAATAATGATTTAGATTTTTTAATTATTCCAACAATCCAAGTTTGTCCTAAACTTTAAGAATAAAAAACAAGGTTGTAAAGGATACAGTAAAATGAAAATGAAGTATATCTATATTTAGATTCCTTTATTTGAATTATTTTCTAAACTATCTAAGCATAGCATACTAAACTTAAAATAAATATCAAAAATACTTATAAGGCGTAATGTCCCACGGAGTGAGGATGCTATCGGATTGATTGGTAATTCTAAATGAATGGGAGATTTTGATACTCATATATCAGCGTGAAGTTCTGAAATATTAGGTGTAATTTGTTTCTATTTAATCTCCTCGATGTCACGTTCTAGTTTCGTTACTCTACTCTTAAGCTCAGAATTTTCTATCCGACTTCGCTTCTCATTCTCAGCACTTTCTTTTGCGTTCCGTTCTAATTCCATTATTCTAACCATAAATCCTGCTCCCTTAGTCGAGGGTTCAGTATTTTTATTTCTAAGTGAAGTATAAGCTCATCAATTGTGGCAATGAGTTTCGAATTTAATTCCTTCAACGTATCAATTTTAGATGAATCTGTAGAATCGTCCCTTTGAACCCGTTTATTTGTCATTTTTATATAAAATACAGTTATATTCAATTCTTTATCATGGAGATATAAATGCCAGAGCGGGCTCATTGTTTCACAATAGAAATTTCAGCAAACAAATCACCAAAAATGTTCGTCAAATAAAATGCCAAGAAAATTCTCGATCACATATAGCATCAATATCAATACAACGTAACAAATCTCGAAATATACATGCGAATGTGAACGCGATTAAATGTACGAATAGAGCCACCAGGGCCAGCTTTATTAATGCGGTAAAAAATAAAATAAAATACAGTTATATGTCAGACACTAATTCTGCTATTATCTATTTTTGGATTTTTTTCTACCCGATGCCTCTTACTCTCGGGTTCGTTGCTAGCTTTAATCCTATCTTTTAATAAACCCACGATTATCCCGACTATTTTTTTGACACTGCTTCGAAGAGTATCGAGTCTGATAAAATCACAGGACTCTGTGAAAAAAAATTCACGTACTTTTGCCAAGAAAAAAAATAAAATAAATTCGGAAAATTCAGAAAAATTCAGAAAAAAATATACGCATATTCGCTTTATTGTTACAAATAAAATATAGATACATAGATGACAGATACATGATAAAATACAGTTAAAAAAAAATATCTATCATTTGATAGATTTTTGTATACGACGTCTCTTAATTTCATGCTCATTACACATTGAAATCCTATCCCTTAATAACCCCACGATCACTCCAAGCACTTTTTTAACACCCTTTCGAATTGATTCGATATCTTCTTTCAACGCCGTTTTGGGTAAATTAATTAGGTATTCACTTTTACTGGTACAATATAAACCATCGGTGGTATATATGATGAAATGCCATTCTATGGCTACAAATAAGAATAATTTTTTCGTTAGCAAATACAAAATATATGTGATCATAATCGTCATTCGGAATGCTTGATCGGCAGTACGTTTCTTTTTATTTGTATGATACGCACTTTCAAGTTGCAAAGGTAACCAATTTCTACTTTACGAGGGTTCCCCTCTGCTATACACATAAGATCTTCATTCCCTTTGATAGCATTAGCATAATCGACACGTCCAGACGCATCCTCGCCAGAAACGTCTCTGATATGAAATATAAATTTTTTCTTCGTTTGTGAGTCTTCGAACAATAGCTAGCGAAGCATTTAATATGGATGTAATAAATACACAACGGGTAAATTCATTGATGTCGGTTTGCATCGTCTCCAAATTTGTAAGCCTTAACGTAATTTCACTCATGCACTGTTTGAGGGCCTTGTCATCGTCATCAATTTCTTCGAATACTATAAAAAGAAATGATTATATAGATACGTGAATATCCTCGCTTTGTGAGACTGAAATTTGCAAAACTGACATGGACAAAGATATGTATACTATTTACCTGGATTAAATTGTTTGATACACGTAATTTCTCCATCATTAACCTTATATTTGCGAAGTACATCCTTTAGTTGTTCTTTTGATTCATAAGTTCTTTAATATCCACAATAAATGTTACTGCAGGACCAAGTGTAAAACCAATTTTACGAAATTTATCTTCTGTTCCAAAAACGATCCGGTTTATGTATATATATGAAAACTGTTACACATATGATATTATGTATTAATCCTGTTGAATCTAGTTTTAATCATTTCCACTTCGAAATTTGATATGAGAGTGATTCTAAAAATATGAATAAAGTTGTTATATGAATAACCATATGATATACAGATTAGTGAAGAAAAATGTTGCCCTAAAATTTTACATAATCGAGTATTTTTTATGAACTCTGGTAAAACCTGAATTCGCATATTTTCGTGTAACCCAATTTTTCATATATATATAAGCCGTTTGGGAATTTTTTCTATTTTTTGGTCATGAAACTCGCCTTTCCATTTCGAATGTGCAATAATAAACGAATTTTCTACTTTTATGCTACTCATGTTTTATTATAATTACATGCCGGAAGAAAGGTGTGAAATAACAAGCCTCCGAATCTTTTAAGGCAATAAACTGCAATTTAGTTATTATAATTATTATAAAAAAATTACATTTTGCACATTATTTTGGAGAATCAATTTGCTACTATAAAAAAATTACATTACAATCTTCATGTCTATGTTCATCAAATTTTTTTCTTCTCTTAAGGATTCAAGAAGCATAGTCAGAAGCCTGCTTAATCACCCGAATCACATCAATGCGCGAGAGTCTAAATTTACGAAAGATGATGTAGAAGCACTAAGAGTGAAATTTCAACCAGTATCCGAAGACCACGTTATTCCTAATGAGAAAGTAGAAGAATTTCTAGAAAAGTACAAATGTCCCCAAATAAATAGGGATATGCTTAATAAAGAAGAATTCAAAGTTCGAGAAATAAGTGATTTTTTGGATAGTCTCGTTCATTCTTTTATAAACTGCATATCGTCACGAGAAATCAAGCCGAATCCAAAACTGATGACATGGTTGCTGATTTACTTCGTATTGCTCAATTGAATAATTATCCCTTGTATATAGAGTGAGTAATTTGAGAAAGTCTGTGCCTTGTTACCTTATTCCAATAGCTTTCTAAATTTTCTTCAAAATCTAGACAACATCCATCAAATAAACTACATATCTTAGGTGAGCCATATCTTTTGGCAACTCCTGAATTTGTGGTTAATTAAGAAACAATAGCTTTGGTTATAACAGAAACCTTACGAAATGTTGACCCTGCAAATGATTTTGGAGAAATGCAAATTGATGGTGAAATACTTGCCTGCAGAAGTGAAAATACACGTAGGGTTGGTAAGATCGCTGATCAGGTTTTATATTCCATTCGTTTTATCTCTACCTATACTACATTTTACTAGGCTGAGATTCCTGCGGGATATTGGGATGAGCTTGCTAAAGGTTTACCAATAAAAATTCAATTGAAATCAAAGATGACCAGGAGAAAATGAAAAGAAAAGTGGTCTTAATATTGCAGACCCAAATAGAAAGAAAGCGGTGTTGACTGCGTTAACCAAAATCTTTTGAATCAATAATAATAGCATGTGATTAGTTTAACCGCGCCTTAAGAAATTTTATATTTCAGTACAACTAAGAATTTCATGACGCATTATTTTCTATTTCACATCACTAATACATTAAATTTGATGAGCCGATCAACTAGTAATAATTTGTGTTCCATATAAATAAAGTATACATTTATTTTCACATCGGGTTTGTGAAATGTAAATTGCATATTAAAGTTAGCAAACATTCTAAGAGGCTTTGCCTCTTAAGAGTTCGGACACGATGTGCTATTTTTACATAATTTTATTCAGAAATGATATCGAAGCAAAAAAATAATGTATTCTAAGTTATTAAACACTTATCTGCAGTTTATATATGTATTATAAATTATTTGATTATAGTTCAAAAATTTTGGAACTTAAGAAATCCTTAAATTTTTGTATTCTTTTGGGAATAACTATTTCTGGTTTTTCATCATACCATACCTCAAGAAGGAAGATTCCATTATCTTGACATATACATCTTTTTTTCTGATCACGGTTAACAATATCCTCGAGTTTTTTAACATCTTTATACCAGCTGGTGTGATGAAGCCGATGTTTAGCTCCTTGCACCTCCAACGCGATTTGATTGTTTCGGAAGAATGCATCAAGTTCTAATCCTTCCATAAAAGATGAACGGTATTCAACCACAGGTTCTTCTCCAAGCAATACTTGAGCTATTAGGATACATTTCTCCTGAAATTTGCGATTTTTTTTAGATTCTAGTTCTTTTTTAAGCTCATCTAAATTTTGTTTTAACTCTGCATTCTCAGTTTTAATTTTGATATTCTCCTTTTTAAGTTCAGTAATCTCGTCTAACAGCTTCAAATTAATTTCGGTTTGTGGGGATTCAAAAGTTTCAGAGTTTTTCCAGGGATTAAGGTCAGTTTTTTTCTCATAACGTTTATATAACTTGGGACGAATCTTATCTATCGAAATACCTGACGATACAATAATTTTAGCTTGCCACTTCAAATATTCGGGAGTCAGATCTTTATGAGTCTTTGATTCTGTGCTCTACTCTTCTATATTAACGTTTTACATGATCGCAAATTAATACAAATTAGGTATTGACTTTTCGTAGCATAACGTGATGAAAAAATAATTTATTACCGAAGCCATCTGGGAAACGGTTTTTTTACCAAGAAAAATTCAGAAAAAAATTCGAAAAAATATATATATATTCGCTTTATGACTCGAAGAGTCACTCCTAAAGGGCCTGATACAAATAAAATATAAGTACATAGATGACAGATACATGATAGTGGAGCTAGTGTCGTAAACACTTAAAATACAGTTATAAAAAGATTTTATCACTTGTTAGATTTTTGTATATAACGTTTCTTAATTTCATGCTCGTCACACATTGCAATCCTATCCCTTAATAACCTCACGATCAACCCAACTACCGTTTTAACATCTTTTCTAATTGATTCAAGATCCTCCTTCAATGCTGTTTTGGATAGATTAATCCGATATTCACTTTTGCTAATACAATATAGCCCTTCCGTAGCGAATTTAATAAAATGCCATTCCATTGCTATGTAGAAATAAAATAACAATAATCAGAAAATATAATAAAATTTTTAGCCAGGCAAGCACAAGATGTTATTAACTTTCTATACCTGCAAAGACTATTCCATAAAGATAATCATCATCATTTTCAAATGCCTGCTCTGTGGTTCGCTTCTGTTTATACATGCACACAAAATTATTTTGGGGCCGAAATTGCAATTTTGGGGAAAAAAAGTTGAAATAGTTTTTCATAGAAGACAAAATTATTTTACTTAAAACCCAAAATTTTTTGACCACCCAG